CTTCTGGCTGTCCACTCTGTCCATGCCCTTCGTAATCTTGTAGATCTCTATCAAGTCCCCCCTCAACTTCCGTCATTCCAGTGAGAACAACCCAAGTTTCTCCAACCTCTCCTCATAGCTAATGCCCACCATACCATGCAACATCCTGGTAAATCATTTCTGTACCCTCTCCAAAGCCACCACATCCTTCTGGTAGTGTAGTGACCAGAATTGAACACAATATTCCAAATGCGGCCTAACTAAGGGTCTATAAAGTTGCAACATTACCTGCCAATTTTTAAACTCAATACCCCAGCTGATGAAGGCAAGCATGCCGTATGCCTTGTTAACTACCTTTTCCACCTGCGTTGCCATTTTCAGTGACCTGTGTACATGTACACCCAGATCCCTCTGCCTGTCTATACTCTTAAAGGTTCTGCCATTTACTGTATTTTTTCCATCTGGATTAGACCTTCCAAAATGCATTAGCTCACATTTTTCCATATTAAACTCCATCTGCCATCTCTCTGCCCAAGTCACCAACCGATTTACATCTAGTTGTATCCTTTGACGGTCCTCATCACCATCTGCAATTCCACCAACCTTTGTGTCATCGGCAAACTTACTAATCAGACCAGTTACATTCTCCTCCAAATCATGTACATATATTATAAACAGCAAAGGTCCCAACATTGATTACTGAGGAATGCCACTTGTTTCTCCATTCCGAAACACACCCTTTCACTGCTACCCTCTGTCTTCTATGACTGAGCCAGTCTTTCATCCATTTTGCAAGCTCACCTCTGACCCCGTGCAACTTTACCTTCTGTATCAGCCTGCCATGAGGGACCTTGTCAAAGGCCTTACTGAAGTCCATGTAGACAACATCCGCTGCCCTACCCTCATCGATCACCTTTGTCACTTCCTCAAAAAACTCAACCAACTTAGTGAGACACGACCTCCCCTTCACAAAACCATGATGCCTCTCACTAATACACCCACTGATTTCCAGGTGGGAGTAAATCCGATGTTGAAGAATCCTCTCCAATAATTTCCCTACCACTGATGTAATGCTCACCGGCCTGTAATTTGCTGATTATGCCACCCTTCTTAAACAAAGGAACAACGTTGGAAATTCTCCAATCCTCTGGGACCTCCCCTGTAGCCAGTGAGGATACAAATATTTCCCTCAAGGCCCCAGCAATTCCCTCCCCTTGCCTCTCTCAGTATTCTGGGGTCTCTCCCATCAGGTCCTGGGGACTTGTCTACCTTAATGCTTTTCAAGACCCCCTTTTGATCTCAACATGACCCAAACTATCTCCACATCCTTCCCCAGACTCATCATCCACCAAGTCCTTCTCTTTGGTGAATATTAACACAAAGTACTTGTTTAATACCTTGCCCATTTCCTCTGGTTCCACCCATAAATTCCCTTCCCTGGCCTTGAGTGGTCCAACCCTCTGCCCGGCTACCCTCTTGCTCTTTATATATGTATAAAAAGTCTTGCGATTTTCCTTAATCCTGTTGGCCAATGAATTTTCATGACCCCTTTTAGCTCTCCCAGCCCCTTGCTTAAGTTTCTTTCCACTTTCCTCGTATTCCACCCTTGCTTTGTGTGTTCCCAGCCTCCTAGCTTTGATAAATGCTTCCTTTTTCTTTTTGATTAGGCTCACAATATCTCTCGTTATCCAAGGTTCCCTAAACTTTCCATACTTATCCTTTATCCTTAAAGGAACATGCCAGTCGTAAGTTCCGAGCAACTTACACTTGAAAGCCTCCCACATACCAAATGTTGATTTGCCCTCAAACATCGGTCTCCAATCTACATTCTTCACTTCCTGCCTAATGTTGTTGTAATTAGCCTTCCCCCAATTTAGCACCTTCACCTGACAACTACACCAATCTTTATCCATCAGTACCTTAAAACTTACTGAATTATGATCACTGTTCCCGAGCTGCTCCCCTACTGAGATGTTGACCACCTGGCCAGGCTCATTCTCCAATACTAGGTCCAGTACAGCCCCTTTCCTAGTTGGACTATCTACATACTGTTTCAAGAAGCCCTCCAGGATGCTCCTTACAAACTCTGCCCCATCTGAGTCCCAAGCACAAGTGAATCCCAGTCAATATACGGGAAGATAAAATCACCCACGACAACTACCCTGTTACTTTTACATCTTGCCAAAATCTGCCTGCTTATCTATTCTTCTCTCCCCCGCTGGCTGTTGGGCAGCCTAAAGTAAACCCCAAACATTGTGACTGCACCCTTCCTGTTCCTGAACTCTACCCATATTGCCTTGCTTTATGAGCCATCCGAGGTGTCCTCCCACAGTACAGCTTTGATAAATCTCCTTAATAAGTAGTGCAACTCCCCCACTCCTTTTATATCATCCTCTATCCCGCCTGAAACATGTGCATCCTGGAATGTTAAGCTGCCAATCCTGTCCCTCTCTTAACCAAGTCTCTGTAATAGCAACAACATCATAGCTCCAAGTACTAACCCAAGCTCTAAGTTCATCTGCTTACACTTCTTGCATTGAAACAGATGCACTTCAGTCCACCAGGTCTGCTTTGATCAGCAACCACGCCCTGCCTGCTCTTCCTCAGAGTCTTACTGACCCTATTCTCTAGTTCACTTTCAGTCCACTCACCTTTGATTTGGTTCCCACACCCCCTGTCAAGATAGTTTAAATCCTCCTGAATGACACCAGAGTAAACCTCCCAGCCAGAATATTTGTGCCCCTCCAGTTTAGATGCAACCCGTCTTTCTTGTACAGGTCCCACCTGCCCTGGAAGAGATCCCAATGGCCCAGATATCTGAAACCCTCCCTCCTACACCATCTGTTTAGCCCTGTGTTGAGCTGTACTATCCTCCTATTTCTAGTCTAACTGGAACGTGGCACAGGGAATAATCCCGAGATTACAACCTTGGAGGTCCTGCTTTTTAACTTTCTACCTAACTCCCGGAGCTGCTGCTTCAGAACCTTGTCACTCATCCTACCTATGTCGTTAGTACCAATATGTACCACAACCTCTGGCTGTTCACCCTCTCCCTTCAGAATGCTTTCTGCATGTTCAGAGACATCCTGGACCCTGGCACCAGGGAGGCAACACACCATCCTGGAGTCTCTTTAACGTCCACAGAAGCGCCTATCTGTACCCCTAACTATGGAGTCCCCTATAACTACTGCTCCGGTGCTCTTCGTCCTTCCCTTTTTAATAACAGAGCCAGCCGTGGTGCCGCCAGTCTGGCTGCTGCTGCTGCTGTTATCCCCCAATAGGTTATTCCCCCCGCAACAGTATCCAAAACAGTATACTTGTTAGAGAGGGGGACAACCACAGGGGATTCCTGCACTGGCTGCCTACCCCTTCTAGCAGTCACCCATCTATCTGCCTGCACCTCGGGTATCACTGCATCTCTAAAACTATTGTCTATGACGTTTTCCGCTATCCTCATGCTCCTAAGTGCATCCAATTGCCGCTCCAACCTATCCATGCGGTCTGTGAGGAGCTGCAGTTGGGTGCACTTCCTGCAGATGTAGTCATCGGAGGACACTGGAAGAGTCGTGGATCTCCCACATCTCACAAGTGAAACACCTAACTGGCATTTCTATCCCCAATCAAGCTGTTTAGGAAAATTTATTGAACACTTATCCTTACTTATCGCTGCAAATACCAGTGCTTTGAATGGAGCTTATGAAAGCCTCCTGATAGAACAGATAAAAAGGTGGAACGCATAGCATACAAAAGAATCAAGTGAAGCATGCAGCAAATGTAATGTTTAAAATGGGAGACTTTAATTTTTTAGTTAGACCAGAATAGTAGAACAGCACAAGCCCTGAAAGGTGGTGAATGTCTCAAGTGTATTTAAGTGTGTTTTTTAGAACTTGTTCATGACTAAATAAACAAGCTGCTTTTCATTTTAGACATGAGTCATCAGATTAAATTTGTCAACCACCAATAAGAAAGGAAGACTGAGGTAACAGGGATTGAATTCGATATTAGGTTTCAGACAGAGAAGGATGAATCACAAACAATGACAAACTGAGGCAGAATTTGGCTACACCAGACTGAGGATACCCATTAACAGTTATGTAAAATGGAAGGATGAAGGACATCATGTGAGCCATTCTGAATTCTGCCCTAGAACAAGCTTGGGCAGCCTGCTTACTCAAGTGTGGGCTAATTTACCTTACTGTGAGGGTGGTGTGAAATATTTATAGCTATAAATAATGCCTGGGGCAGTTGTGCTGACAGTGGATACACTGTCAGTCTCCAAATTCCAGAGAAATATAAAGGAATCCCATTGACAGTTTCACTTAAAATTATCTAATTAATTACATTTTATTTAATTATCTATGTAATAAGTTGGCCCGAACCAACAATCCCCTCACCCTTCCATGACATTTGAACCTGTCAGCATTGAATTTAGCCTAGCGTCAAACTGCACTTTCAGGAATATGTATAAGGGGGCCTTTCATTAGTCCTTACCAATAGTGGATGGTAGAGTTCTGGCTTGAATGGTCAATATGATTCCTGTTTTCCATGTGAGGCCCAGGGATACCATTCTCCAGGCCTCAAGCATGTCACGAATGAACTCCAGTGTAAAAGCTTGTTAACTTCAGTAATCAACTCAACGTACCAAAGAACTAAAAAGATTTTGTTGCTAATATTTCGCAACAAAACAAAAACTTAGAATGGCATTCCTCTAAGCAACAAGCTGTTTAGGTAAAGTTCAGCAAATTTAAATGTCAAATAAAAGGGTAAATAATAATTGATTAATTCACACAAAATCTAAAATGCAAGGGGGAAAAATTAGTCTCTTGTTTTGTTAAAAGCAAAGACACCACAGCAAAATCAATTACTCGAGCATCTTAAACTTCATTCAATATGAGTTTAATTCCAATAAGATACCCCACCAGCAATGATAACTGAGAATATAAAGTGCGAAGCAGCTGAATTGTAGTTACTGTTAATGCTTCCCATCATATAAGTCTCATCAGAAAATCGGGAATATTTACCTTGTGCATGTTCCGGAAATAGGCTGCCTTTTCATCAGGAAATTTCTCTAACCTTCTAGGACCTTTGCTGGAGGCTTTCTTAAATACCAGCCAACACCGTCTGTACATCTGTTAGAGACAGTAAAGTAAAAGTGTGAAGAATCCAGTTGCTGTACAGTTAAGATTTTAGAATAAGAACCAGATGAGACATTGCATAGTATGAGATGGCATTAAAACCCACAAATAATTGCATATTTATCATCCTTACCTCCAACATATGAGTATGGCTTAGGCAAAACATTTATTTTAATTTCACATTGCAATAACTGGTATATGTTTACATACTGTATATATCATTGCATGGTCTGTAAAGATCTAGAAACAGTTGGTTCCTGGCTAACTAGTATAAGTGAGCTGGGAGGGGGACACTTTCATTGCACATCACATGACTCAAGTGCAGCAATGGCATGCCATGTGATGATCAATGACAGGTCATATGACAGCCTCAGTCTGCACGCATATAAGAATGAATAGGTTTTATTGTCATCCGTATTTTACAGTGAGAAAAACAGTAAAAACAGTGAAAAACTTCAATCAGGCACCATTTTGAGTGGTTTTAAGAATAACAAAAAAAGATATAGCATAAAGAGACTCCATCAGTTCTGAGCCAGTTGATCATCAATGACACCTGCACCATCATCCCTCCTCCACTGCTTCATCGCTGACTATACTGGACGCCAATCAACATTGAAGTTGGCACTCTTCAAGTGCCAACTTTTGCCACTCCTCCGCTACCATCTGCACCGGACCAACCAACATCAGAGTTGCATCTGTTGCCTCTGGGCCCACCTCAATGTCACTGTGATGCCCTTTCGCCACCACCAGTGCCAGATCCAACCAATGTTTAAATCGCTGATCCTCAGGCGCCACCTTTTGCTGCCGGGCCTACCTTGCCAACGTTGTCTCTGCCGATGTAGCAGCTGCCGATTCTGATGCCAGGTCCCACGCTCATCCCAGAAAAATCAGGGCGGGCTCACAAGCCGAAACCATGAGGTCCGCTCTGGGCCCACTCAAGTCCACGCTGGGGTTCTTTGCCACCACCACTACCATTCTAGCTGAGGATGAGGGGTGAGTAAAAAAGAAAAAAAAAAGAAGAAAAGAGAGAGAAGAAAAGAGTGGTTGGAGTGGATGGGACCCAGCTCAGGTCCCCAACTCCACCGCTATCTCCATACCTAGATTTTCTGAATATTGATAGGCAAGTGACCAAAAGTAGAATAATACTGACATAATTTTTCTCTTTGTCTTTGGGCGAGAAATTCAATTTCCTTGCAGAAGGTAACAACAGTTCTGAAGTTGGGCTCCAGCAGTTACAAGGACCTTTCTTTGGCTACATTTTCGCGCCAAGTCAAAGTTGTATGTCAGAGTTCACTTTCAGAATCAAAATAGTGCCAATGGCCGCAAAAGTTAGTGATCAATTGAGAGTTCTTTTTGGCCTTTATAGCTCATGACCACATTACACCAGTCATTGGCCCTGCAAGCAATGGGCTAAGCTAATTGATTGACTATGCAGCAATTAAATCTGCAGTCTGTTCAGATAACATTAATTCACAGTATTAGTCAATCACTTACAAAAAGCCTGGCATCCAATTTACAATGGAAGTAGCATTTCAAAGAATGTCATTATAGGATCTGGCAGCATTGTTTCGTTTTACATGATAGTTGCCCATTTTCTTTTTCCCTGTAAGTCCCAATCACGTGCATACGGCAATAATAAGCGTGCTGTCAGCTTCTCTTTGAGAAAAAGCATGGTATCTGGCTCTCGGTCCTTCCACAATGATCAGGTGACACATCTTCAAATCTTTTATTCCAGAATGCATTGTGTTACATTTTAATGTGAAGTGGTGGCCATTTCTTAAGGCAATTTAATGCTCACATATCACATTAAAGGTCAAGCATATCACGAGGAAGAATTGCTGAGCAGATATATTAGCCTGAAGCAATTATCAAAATGCCAAGTTGTGCATTAAAGCTTTCGTCACAACACACTGAGGATTCTGCACAACGAGACGATATTTATCTTTCCTTGGTGCCCAGTAAACTTGTTTAATAGCCGTAATAATTGAATATTTATCAGCTGTAATGGATAAGCTCTGGGTCCCATGGGGAAGTGATCAGATTACTATGGGTTTTTATTTGCAGTGATTAGAAAAGGCAAAAGTAAACCTGTATTAGGCGAGATCGGTTGGTATTGATTCAGCACTGTCGCCGTCAGAGAGAGAGGTTTAGCATGACAGAATATGGAGCTGCCACCACCCAGACTTTTAGTGAGAATAGAAGCTACAGTAGCAAATTTCACCATTCCAAATCAATTCTTAACTACCATTGTTTGAATTACTGTAGAAACTATATCTTGATGTTCTTCCATATTTTTGACTGTGGACTTCAATGGGAAAAGGACTGTTCTGAAAAGAGACTGCAGAAGGGATTACTGCACTTTTTAAAAGCAGATTACTGACATTCATTGTAAATGTTGTTTACATTGCTGCCTGTTCAGGCATTAGAGGTTACTGCAGATTGGTGGCAGGCAGGGGCTGTATGCAAAAGATGATTCAGCCAGCCACAAGTGGCTGTTTGGTCTGTGGTTGGCACCAAGGCAAAAGAACAGGTTCTGGGTATGAATGTTTGGGTCAGAGGCCTTTAGACCTCCAGAAAATGAGATGTTGTCTTTCTGTCTGCAGTAAAATAAAAACCTAACACAAAGATAGTCAGTTAATTTTCCCTCACTTAATGCAGTAAGCTGTTAACTTAAAGTCTCTGACTTATTGTTTAAAATTATGAACCCGTTGCTCTGCAAGGAAGACAGTTAGCTCAGCTGGCTTTGTGATACAGTGTGATGCCAACAACATGGATTCCCACCCCGACTGAGGTTATCATGAGGGACTCTCCTTCTCAACCTTTCCCCTAGCCTGAGAGGTGGCAATCCTCAGGTTAAACTACCACCATCCTCTCTCTCTCTCTCTAATAAGAGAAAGCAGCCCTATCATCCAATAGGACTTTAGTGACTTTTGACTTACCTGCAGGTGATAGGTAAGGTAGGTACCTGGAGAAAACAGACTGAGGGGCACCAAGTTCTAACAAGATTAAAAAGGAGCATCTCAGCAAACTCTGCGCACAGGGACCATTTGAACTGCCTTCCAAGTTTCTGCCCTATCCGTAACATCAACATTTCTTCAATAATTGATAAATAAGCTCTGCACAGTCAGGAAGGAGAGATCACATCTGGTGTGAGACACAGCCCGAGTGAATACATATTTCAGGGACTTTGGAGGCAGCATGGCAATTTGATGCAAAGAGGTAGAGGTGCTTTCTTCTGTTTCATAGTTTGTAAGGTCTTTTGTTTTTAAAGAGAACAAATTGAATCTCCAGATTGGGGGACCAGCACAAAAGAAAGTGTGACATCACAAGAAAATCCAAAATTCATCGATTGCTACTATTTGACTGTTATAGGCTACTTTCAGATTGAAGGTAAACAGGAGAAATATTTACCAATTACAAACTGAAAGACCAGCTGGAAGCTTTTAAGAAAACAAATAAAAAGCTAAGCAAACAAAATAAAGATGCAGGGCCTGGCGATGAATGATGTGGCCGCTGGTGGATCCCATTGTGGTTCGGTGGCCACACAGGCAACATGTGTCAGTTGATTGAGGAAGTCTGGCACAGAGTTGACGAGGTGGAGTCTGAGCTTCTCACATTGTGACACATCAGGGAGGGACACAGTTACCTGGATGCTGTGTCTCAGGAAGCAGTAACACCTCTTAGACTAACCTTCTCAAATTCAGTCAGTAGTCAGGGACAGGAGAGTGTGACTACAAGCAACACAGGTAGAGGGATCCAGGAGGTAGTGCTGAAGGGACCTCAGCTCTTGAGTTTGAGTTTATCTAACGAGTTTGAAGTTCTTGGTCCCTACATGGGTCTGCAGGCAAACTGACCATAACACCATGTTATAGGAACGTATTCAAGAGGCGGGGGAGGTGAAAACAGAAATGTAGTTGTAATCAGGAAGAGTATCAGAGGAATAGACAATGTTCTCTGTGGCCAGGAACAAGAGTCCCTGTGTTGCCTGCCTGGTGACCGGGCTCAGGATATCTCATCTCAACTGCAGAGAAACTTAGAGTAGGAGGGATAAGATTCAGTTGTGGAGGTCCACATTGGCACCATTGCTTTAGTAAAAAGACAGAAGGGGTTCTGCTGAGGGAATATGAGCAGCCAGGAGCAAAATTAAAAAGGAGAATCAAAAAAGGTAATAATTTCTGGATTACTACTTGAGCTACAAACTAATTGCACAGGATCAACAAGATTAAAGAGATAAATGCATTGCTCAAAGATTGCAGTGGGGGAAGCAGGTTTGAATTCATCAGATATTGGCACCAGTACTGGGGAAGGACGGACTCCACCTGGATCATGCTGGGACCAGAGTCCTGGCGAACTGCATAACTGTGACTGTGGAATAGGCTATAGCCTAAATTTGCGGGGGGATAGTTCAGTGGCATTGAAAAATTATGGAAAAAGTCAAAGTCGGGGAGGTCTCAGAAGTGGTTATTAAAGTTTCCAAAGAAGTAACACGATACAGAGTATGGAAAGGCTCAGAATCTAACTTCAGGCACAGCAGATAAGGAGACAGCTATGAGAAGGGGTGCAGTCAACACAGGACCGAGGGTACTGTACTTAAATGCATCCAGTATATGAAATGAGGTAAATGAGCTTGTAACATAGATTGAAATAGGTGGGTATGATGTTGTGGGCATCACAGAGACATGGCTGCAAGGGGATCAGGGCTGGGAATTAAACATCCAAGGATATGTATCCTATGGAAAAGCCAGGCAGATGGGCAGAGCTGCCTAGTTTGTAAGAAATGAAATTAAATCAATAGCAAGAAGTGACATAGGGTCAGATGACGTAGAATGTGTAGGAGTAGAGTTGAGGAACTGCAAAGGAAAGAAGACCCTGATGGGAGTTATGTACAGGTTTCCTAGTAGTAGTCAGGATATAGGGCAGAAAATAAATCAGAAGATAGAAAAGGCATGTAAGAAAGGCACTATTACAATAACCATGGGGGACTTCAATATGCA